TGTGAAAGGCTACTTCGCATGGTCACTGTTGGACAACTTTGAATGGGCTTCTGGGTATACTGTGAGATTTGGAATCAACTACGTCGATTACAAAGATGGTTTGAAAAGATACCCCAAGCAATCAGCGATTTGGTTCAAGAAGTTCCTGCAGAAATAGGGAAATTGTTAATGATCTATAGAAATATAATAAATGTATTTTATTTTCTGGAATAATTAAGGACTGATATTTATGGTTTTCATTAATAAAAATTATCTACCATCTTGTCAATAGAAGGAATAAAGGTTTAATAATATTTTTAAGATTAAATCTTCTTTTTGTTGGTTTACCCCTTGTTTTGTTCCTTAACTAAATTTGAACTTTTCTTAATTAATCTGTGAATTCCTCAAATTGGTATCCATTATACATTAGAGTATGTATAATGGAGAACAATGAAACAATTCATTTTAGTATCAAATCTTCACAAATAATATTATTTTATAAAACTCACATTTTATATGTTTAATGTTTAAATAAGAACATTTAGTTCCCTTCCAAAGCATAGAGTTTCCTTAAATGCAAATGGACTTTAAAACGTTGCTTGACAGGCTGTCACACGTCAAGCGTTGCAAGTTCTTTTTGTCTCTGAACTGTAAAAGGGGCAAGAAATTTACTGAGAGAGACAAGCTTGGTTTTGAGAAAATCTTTGGTTAAATGCCAACTTTGGTCCCTCAACTTAAGGTTCTGCATAATTTTCATTCCTCAACTTTTTTTACACTTTTTTAGTCCTTTAACTATAAAAAATGCATTTTTTTAGTCATTCCTCAGTTAATCCGTTAAATCTATTTGAATTTACATATTTTTAGTCTCTCAACTTTAAATTGAGACATAAAAAATGTGCAAATTTAAATAAACTTAATGGATTAACTTACGAAAAACTAAAAAAATACATTTTTTATAGTTAAAGGACTAAAAAAGTATAAAAAAAGTTAAGGGATGAAAATTGTGTAGAACCTTAAGCTGAGGGACCAAAGTTGACATTTAACCAAAATCCTTCAATGAGAATGCTCTATCTCTCTCTTTTGCAGGTAGAACAAAAAAAAAAGAAAAGACCTTTTATTTTAGATGCTCTTAATTTCTCGTTTATTAGGACTGGCTCAACTACCTTTTTCCATGTCTAGTTCGCATTTTAGTAGACATACCTCACTTAGTAATTAACTTCAACAAGTTCTAAAAAAAGTTACATATCCTAATTTTCAAGGGCGATGTTATATGAATAATTTTTTTATATTATTTTTTAATATAATTTTTATATGTCATTAAATGAGTGAATGCATTTAATATTATAGGTTCTATATGAATAAAATGAACCAATCATTTAAATGACATGTCAAATTTATATAAAAAAAAATGATACAAAAGGTTATTTCAAAGTTATTTCTCAATTTTTAATTATCTCAAAACTTGTTTAAAAGTCAACTTAAGAGCCAATTTTTTTCTCCAACAATTTTTTTTTTTCTTTTTCACAAACGCTCTAACAAATTTTTAAATTAAAATGAATTTACTTTCAGGCTCTGCTAAATGGCCTCCTAATATATTTTTATATTTTTCATACACAATTATTCTCACTAGTTCGTTGAGGATCTTATTTATATCATACATGATCCTTAATAAGAGTAAATATATTATTTCTTAAAAATCCTTAAGTGAGAACCACACGGTAAATTTGAGTACATGGTGTGACACTCGTTTTTTTTTCCTTTTTTTTGGTACATGGTGTGACACTAGTTTTGTTGTAAAGTAAGAAAGCAAGATTATCACAATCACCACCCTGTCCTTCCATATGATTGGCTTTCGTAAGGATGGATGAAAAAACATAGATTTTAAAGAGTTTTATGCTTTCAAATGATTTACAAGGATGATGGATTATTTTTTGTAAAATAAATTATTAATTTATTTTAAATAATTTTAAAAGACTTTAAGATATTATCGTGAACTAAAAACTTAAATATTCAAAATAAATAAAAGTGGATGAAAGAGTAATGATAAAGTAAATGTAAATGTAAAAACATTCATCTAGAAATACTAACAGATGATATTAACAAGCTACTGACAAATCAAATTAAATTATTACATAACTAAAAAATAAAATTGACTTGACCCTAGTAAAATTAGTTAATCATGATGCTTACGTAAAGAATAGTGAAACTGACATGAGCACAAAGGGAAAGCGTGAAAATCACATAAGTAGATATTTGACACTTATCACAATATGTCAAATCAACATATATATCGGTGTGTAGTACCCAATTCATGAGATGGTTCAATCCCTCTGTCTCAAAAATTGCTCTTGATAAAAAATCAACATATGTATTGAAGAAGACGCAATACCTACTCAAATTGAAAAGATTGCAATGTGTTAAATGAAGGAATCAATGTCTAAGTGATTACAAGAGCTTAAACTGAGATATGTGAGTTGAGTTAAACAATAACTATATATGAAAACTAAAACTAGAATGTTGAATTTGTTGTTGAATTATGTGTAGGGCTGCTCACGTGTTGCTTGTTTTGAATTTTTTTTAATTTATTTTTTTGTATTTGATAACCATATTGAATATCTTAAGTAATTTAAAATTAAACTGAGTCAAAACTCTTAAAAGGAAAAGTTCTTCCAACGTCTGTTTTTTCATTTACAAATCTCGAACTTGAGACATTGATTACAAAGCACCCGAATTCCTTTCGTTCGGATTAATAAATTGTTAAAATGATATTATTATTATTTTTATTTAAAAAAAAAAAGAGGGGAGAAAAATAAAGATATACAACATTCTTTTATTTACTTTTTCTTCTTTTTTTTTTCTGCTTTTTATGTCTCTTATACTAAATATACTATTAATATTTTTTAATTTATAAAATTAAACAAGTAATTTAAAAATTATTCCAAATTAAGGTGCGAACATAGAGTTGGTCAAATATATCAAATATATTTTTTTGGTACAAAAAAATATCAAATATTATTCCAAAAGATTTAATTGGTTAAGCCCACCACTTAGTTGTGTTTGCAAAGTGAACGCATGGCCCCGGTCCCCACGGCTCTCTTGTCCATCCCCGTCTCCATCGTCCCAACCCCACGCTGACGTTCAAATTTTCTCACGCATAAATCATTTCCACTTACTAATATTTATTTTCCTTTAAAATAACTATCGACATCCCATTTGCTGGAGAATGTGATAGACTTTCTAAGTAGACTAGTCAAAACTCATTCTAGAACTCGCAGCCTATTGGCTATGTCATTCACTTGCTGAACTTGTTTGGCAACTTCTTCTTAAAATATAGTCACTATCTCTACTAACTCAAATGGTATCAAACAATTAGCAAATTGTTGTTTTTTTTTTTAATCAGCAAAGAGAATTTTATTGATAAGGTACAAGGGGTACCTCAACCCATTTACAATATTAATCCCAAAAGAAGTAGCAGGGACAGTGAAAGGCCATACCCCAGCTTCAGCAAAGAGCAGGTTACTTTCTTTGTAGCAAAACAAAAGAAGGAGTTACTGTGCGTGTATTCTGCAGGCTTCCTTAGGCTGATTGTACCAAAGTGATTAGGATAAATCCGGCAACCTGTTTGCTTTGATCCATGCGAAGGAATTCAACTTGATTTGGTCAAAAACATGTTCAATATTCACAGCCTCTCCTTTGAAAATTATTGAGTTCCGGCATAACCAAATAGACCACACAGTGAAAAACCAAATGGACATCCAAATCTGGTAACAATTAGCAAATTGTTACCAGCTTTGCATTCCATCTGACATCCGTCTTCATAGTTTATCATGCTTCAAATCATAGCGTTAACAAACTTGATATGATTTATTGAAAATCACTTGCTTAAATAATATAACAGTGGTGCATTATCAAATAAATTAATAATTTATAGTGTAAACACAACCTTGCTGAACTGTTTGGCCGGCTGCCAGCAAAGGCTAGAAAAGGTAGAACTTTGAAGATAATCGTAACAAACTTTTCATATTGATTGAATTAAACCAACGAATTCAAATGATTAACTTCAACGAAAAAAACCTACAAGGATAAGTCTTTTTGTCTCAATCCAAATCCTGTAAGGGATACTTACAATCCGCTTCCCGAGCATAAACGTTGGTGCTGCACGGTAAATAAAATTTCCCAAAAAATAATCAAAACAATTCTAGCACTACCACAAAGAGTCTACATGTGACATATCAAACTAACATGCTGGATGATCCTTCCAACTATAATGCTCTCAGAATAACTCTTTCCAACAAAACGCCTACCATGTCGGCCCATCCAATGAAAATAAATTGAAGCAGCAAAGGCAAGTCCACACCAGAGAGCAATGCCCAGGTACGTGTCTTATTATATTGCAAGTATTCAGCACCGCTTGCCATACCTGCTTGCTATCAGAATATGCAAAACATAGGCACAAGTTGCAGCAACATTCAAACCACTTTTCCTCAGATTATCCTTAGTTTTGAGTCCATTTAGTGTTGTAAGCCAGAGTACAACACTGCGTCTAGGAGTCATACCTCTACCCAATGCATCCGTAAACCATGGCAGATGGCACGCTGCTTCTTCTTCCCCTTCAATACCTCATGCAAGCCATGAATGGAAAAGGCTCCACTGCCACCAGCTTTATCTTCCCTCTGTATCAGGGATAAATTATTTCCACATCATCAAGAAACCTACTGCAAAAGCTCGTAGGCACACACCACTGCTCCTGATGCCGCCAAACACACACCAGCAAGGTCTTACCTCAGCTACTTTCATCAAATCCTTCAGAGTACTTCAAAAAAAAAAAAAACTCACCAACGCATGAGAGTTTAACAATAAAAAATGGATACGTTTGAGATGCTTGGAAGGTTCTTGAGGTGTTTAATCAAAGGTCGGAATTAAATATACACATACCTGTAAAATAGCATTGCTAGGTGATAAACTACACTATCAAATTGACTTATAGCACAGTGTGTGCCAGTTATCATGACCTTACCGAGATGAGCATAGGGACCGGTAGAATGCCAGTTTGTTTTCCCATCTTCGAAATTACATGAAGCAGTAACAAAGAAAACGTTTTAATCAATAACAAAATATTTAAAGAGAGGGAATTTTTTAGCTTCAGGTTCTAGAAAAAGTCAAAAGCGACTTTGGGAAAAAAAAAAATTCAGCTTCTATAGTAGAAAAGCTCTTTGAGTTGAAGGGGCAATGAAGGGGCAAATGGGCACTGCAAAAGACAATAATTCCTTCATTGAAGCCCAAGGCAAGACTATGCTGGTTTGAATAAAAACAAATAGTAAATTATGTGTCTTAAATATAAAAATATCTACTTACCCTCGATACACCTAAGAGGCTACAGTCTTGAGGGCATGAGATTGTAGCAGCTTACAGAGTCAAAGCAACTATCTTGACACAAGAACCCAAAATTGAATATGATTCTGAAGGAATACCAAATTTATCATCGTGTTATTTTTGTCATGATGATAGGAATTCCTTCATAACCATATTCAATTTGTGATTCTTGTGATTCTTGAACTTCAGGTTCTCATGGAGAGCCGTAAAATTACCAAAATATATTTCAGAATTCTGTCCACTAATATGTATACAATAAATGAATGACAAGAAGAATTCACTGCATGTTTATTAGAGAAGCGGATTCAAAGATCTATGGCAATAACGAAGTGTATTAATTTCTAGCCCTTCTCCAAGGATGAGTTGGTTGGTTGAAACATTAGGATTGGCATGATTGAATGCATATTAGAATGATCCTAAACCATTAAGATCTTAGATATTAAATTTAAAACTCGAGACAGGTGAGGGATTTTGAGAAATGAGAGGGTTATCCTCTGCTATAATACATACTCGACAGATGTGTCAATCAAGGACATTAGTTACAAATTTCATCTTCTCCAAAAATCGATCAACCCAACCAATTCAGTTTTGTTTTAGTGGCGAACAAAAAAACCCCATTTCGCTTTTGGTACCCGGAAATCAATTAATCTTCTCCTAACCAAAAAAAAAAAAAAAACACAGCAATAATCTTCTCCATGAATATATAGAATCAACACTGATATTTTTCAAAAAATATCATCAAAAGAACAGAAACACAGAACCTGCTAAAAAACACATAAAAGTCTTAAAAGGATCTCATCTCACAGCATTAGATGCAACGGAGAATGGGAGATATGAATCAAATCAACAGAGAGAAGAAGACAGGGTATAGATTTCGAAAACGATAGAAGCTCAGTAGTTCAGTTATCAGTAGTGAAGCTCAACTGTGGGGGGAAAACCTTTATACATACATACATATATATATATATATACAAAAGAAACGAATTTTTTCCTTCTTATTTTCTCTTTCGCTTGAAAAATTGACAGCCACCAAATGTTACTTAGTATATCGTAATAAATTCCGAAGATGGTAAGATTTTAAAATTATTCCGTGAACACATGAAATATACGTTTTCTTTTTTATTGGAGAAAATACTTAAATTGATATATTCATTAAACTTTTAATAAGATATGTGAATTAATGTACATTATGTGTTTTTTACGTTAGTAGATAAATTTTTAAAATTTTAGTAAAATACATAAATCAATATACGTTACGTGTTTTTCACGTTGATTTGTTTCTCTGTTATAATTAATTTGGCCTTCTAATTAAGCTGTAAGTTTGCCTTAATTGAAATACATAAATAATGTAGTCATATGGAACTATGGATAGAAATAATGTATTTAAAAATCATATCTAATTATGTCAACTGCATATATTCTTAGTCACCATATATGTAACCATTAACTACTCATTTTAGGAGAATAACGCTCTGGTTGAAATCGCCACAGAAAAACGCTCTCATTCAAGACTGGAATATGCATCAGAAATAAATAAATAATAAAGCTTTTACTAACTACTTAAATACTTAAATAATTAAGTAATAATATTTTTTAAATATAAATAAGAGTTAATGAATTCAAAGCATATAATATACAAAGACAGTAATTAAAATTTTAAAAAGTAAAATAAAATAAAGTCTTTCATTCAAATTTTAAGTAAATAATACTATTAATTCTTCACCATTATTTCTTTAATTCTTTCTTAAATTTTTAATGCTGAGCTTGGAGAGTATTATAACCTTTTCAGAGATTTGCGATAACCAAGAGATTTGATTTAAATCTTAAATTGATGGAATCAAATGGGTCAAAATTAAATGACGGAAAAAAAAATCCTGTCTTTATAAGAAATTGTCAATTATAGTCCTTAAACCATTTTTTTTACGATAAAAACAGTTGAACTTTTATTGACCTCCTTTTGTCACCATGATGGTTAAAAAACTAAATACAATAACTTTTTTAAATAAACAACTTTCCATTATTATGTGACCCACTTTTCTTCTCCCCTCTTTAGTTTACCGTTATTGCCACACAAAAGTAAATTTTTTTTTTTTTCTATTTTGAATACTATTTACCCTTTCTTCAAACAACATCAATTCCTTTCCTTTTGCAAATTATTTTGACCAAATTTCTTCTTGCCTACTTGCCTCACTTTCTTTCTTTCTCCATAATATACAGTTAAAGATTTGAAATAGTACAGTGAAAAAGGTGGGCAGGGATGGAAGCTAGAGAGGACAAGTTTTCACACATTTCTCTGTGACCATCAATGACACCAAATAGATTTAGAAACATTTGGTTTTCATTTAAGCATGATATCATTTTTACTCTCTTTCTTCTCCCTCCTTTCCTTTTGCTATGATGAAAACACTCCTTGAAACCCTCAAAATTCCATTAGGCCAATAAACTAAGGTATGTAATGAAAATCTCCTTTTAATGAAATTAGTTTTTTTTCTCCTTCAAAAATAAAAGGTTTTCAATTTGAGTTGTACTACATGAGGGTGGAATAGGTAAAAAAGAAAGAAGATTTCTTTTAATTGTATAATCTAAAATAGTTTCAAAGGCTTGAGATGATATACATATTGTGTAATATAGATTATGGGTGTATAAGTCTATTTATTTGCCCTTTGTATGGATGTATAATTACCTTAGTTTTACTATGAATAATACACAATACATCACTAGTTTTATGGTATTAGAGCCGCCACTAAGCATCAAACCCTAATCCTCTTAGGTTTTCTTCTTCTCTTTCTCAACCCTTAGTCTATATTACACAATATGTATATTAATTATTAGTGTTGAAGTATCCCTTCTATTTTCTTAATGAAACTTTATTTTTGATAACAAAAATAGCTATTTAATTTATATGGATCATGATAGGTGCACACCCGGGTGTGGGATCCGGGTGTGCACACATCATTATCCAATTTATATTACATGTGGTTAGTTGTATTATAATTTTTTTTTTTTTTTGTGTACAGCTAATGCGCTCATGATTATTTCCATCCTATTTAATTTAGACTAGTGCTTGGGAGGTAGCATTACAACTCTCAACTTCGTTGGCATCTAGTGTCACTTCATTAGAGGGTAGTCTTGGCTGTTAAGCCCATTGAGTGCTGCACTACCATCCATGAGGCAACCATCCAAGGATAGCCCCTCTCTCTAATAGATTTCATGTCACAAGAAGTCAATGCTTTGTAAAATTTGGTCTATACACATAATGGTGGAGACCTTAATATATTATTCACCAAAGAGTTATTTCATAGTGATCTTATTATTTTGGTGAGAAATTTTTTTTTATACATCTAATAATTATGGAATATAAGAAGAAATAGCTTTTATCTCTCTCTAAATCTCTCTCCAATCAACTCAAAGTTTAAACTTGATATTTCTAATTTGGAATTTCAAGTTCTTAACAATCGAATCACCCATGAGTATTATTTTGGGGAGAAATTAATGAAATGTTAATGATCTATTCCTGTCTTTAACCAAGAATTTGATTTGCTAATTCTATTGGACTCTCCGTTTTGCTTTTAAAATATGACACTCAACAAGGTCTTGATATTGATAATGCCATCAATGACAAAGTAGTTTTCATGACAAGTCAACACCTAAATTGGTCCACTTTAACAAAATTAAGAAGCTTATGTTAGCAGTGCATTCAACAAACCCTTGTATAATAAAATTAGTGAGTTTAAGTTCTAAATTAGAAAGCTAAAAAGTAAAGATCATTCTTTAAAAACAAAAAAGAAAAAAACCTTAATTAATAAACATTTAAAAATTAGAATCCTTATCCATACCATTTCTCCGTGCAGTATTATACACACAACAATCTAAAACAAATTAGAGCAAGTACAATAATGTTCTCTTTCATTGTTCTTTTCTAACAAAAAAAAAAAAAAAATGGTGACAAAATTCTACTCAATTTGAGGCAAGTTCTAAAATCAAGCTAACAAGCTTGCCTTCAGTTGTTTAAGCTGAAAAGTGTTTTACTTGGATGCACCACTGACATGATCATTTTTTTCATCCAACAGCTTAAAGCTGTTGGATCAAAGGTTTTTTTTTTTTTTTAAATTTTTAATTCAAAACTTTTTTTATTTAAATATATAAAATGTAGATTGAATAAGATAATATTAATATAATTTTAATAAACTCTATGCATTAAAGAGAAGTGTTTTCTTAAGTATTCTATATAAGGATTAAACATATAAAAATGTGATTTTATATAAAACAATATTAATTGTAATAATATGACAACAAAATGAGTTTTTTTCATTATTCTCTATTTGTACATGCTCTCATGGCAGTACCAAAGAGAAGTTAAAGTTAGTGCCAAAAGTGTCCCAAATCAAAAACGTTAGGGACTTATAGAAACTTGTAATTGAGGAGAGTGAACAGTGGTGGTGTGCGTGCCGAGTGGCGTGGGAAATCAGGACTGTGGAGGGAAACTGAAATAAAATGAAATTAAAACCCTGCATTAGGTGACGAACTTTCCCGCCACCCAAATCATTTCGCTTTTTCTTCCTCAAAGGTATCCAAACCTAAACTTCTCTTGGAAAAATCCATCGAAAATCAATAGCGATGCCAAAGGATGAAGACGGCGGCGCACCGAAACCAGATGGTCTCGAGATCATCTCGATCGGATCTCTGTACAGAGGTCCTTGGGAGAAGAAGTACTGGAGCTCCTCTAGGGTTCGTCTCTCTCTTCCCCTTTCATTTCATTTCCTTTCCTTGTCGATTGGTACGATATTAGGATTTTCTTAAGCTAGGCACCAGAGCGAGATGTTTACGTTCCTCAAAATA